GAAAAGCTTAAAAGGCTTGGTGTACGTGGAAAGCAGTTAAATTTATTTAAGAGTTACATGAAAAATAGATTGCAAAGTGTTAAAATATCACAGAAGTTCAGATTTACCAGTGACCTACGGTGTACCTCAGGGCAGTATACTGGGGCCCACCTTATACACAATTTATGTTAATGATCTCTGTCAAATGAAGCTCATCTCTGGAAAGTCTATTTGTTATGCAGATGATACTGTGCTACTTTTTGCAGAGGGTTATTGGAAAAAAACTTTTGAAGCTGCCCAAAATTCATTTAATACTGTACAAAGGTGGTTGTGCTCTAATAAATTAACTTTAAATGCGGAGAAAACCAAATATCTGACCTTTTCCATTCGTGATGTGACGCAACCAGGAAACGATTTCTCTCTACGTGCACATAGCTGTATTTTAAAAAAATCCTAGCTCTCTCACTTCCTGCCGATGTCCGTTATTGGAAAGAGTTGAGATTATCAGGTATTTGGGTATCCTTCTAGACGAAAATCTATCTTTTGAACACCATATTCAACATTTAAAAAATCGTATCCGCAAACTTCTATATGTTTTTAAAAATCTAAGACATGTAGTGCAACCATATCTTTTGAAACAGCTGTATCTTGCTCTGTGTGAATCCTTGTTAACTTATTGCATTTCTTGTTGGGGTGGGGCTCTAAAAACGCACATGGTTTCTTTAGAAAGGGCTCAAAGAGCGCTTTTAAAGGTCTCCACTTTTAAACCATTTCAATATCCTACAATATTACTCTACAATAACTGCCAAGTACTAACTGTTCGCCAACTATTTGTTCTAAATGTTATAAAAAAACAGCATCAGTGTATAAACTATGACCCTGACAAAATCAAATGTAAACGTCGTAAAGACATTGTGATTAAGTCCAGTTTTAAGCCCAACACAAAATTTATAAAAAAATATTTTTGTTTTCTTGGCCCATATTTATATAATAAAGTAAACAAAATGGTTCATATATACTATATGAATAAGCATGACTGCAACATTGCCCTCAGAAAATGGCTTCAACTAAAGTCTTATGAAGAAACGGAGAATTTGTTAACAGTACTTGCATAAGTGTTCATAGATGTCAATTTGTTACTTCTCTGCAAAATTTTTTTTTTCATCTGTGCATGTCTTTTAAATTCTAAGGATCTATATTTATATTTTTTTTCTTTTTTTTCTCTTTTTGTGTCACTTGTATTATTTCATTATATTTTGTGTATCTTATTTAAGGTTTTATGTAAGTGGGAAGAGCTTTGCTTAACCTAAAACACAGGGTTTACCCTAACTTAGGAAGCAAGTTCATTTTTAAGAACATATTTAGTATATAAGATGCATTGTTTGACTACTACTCTGTATCACTTTCTATCTGAATAAATTATTATTATTATTATTATTACTTCAAACAAATAAGGCTACAGGTGCGTTTTTTATAGGAAAGGGTGATAAACGAGCACACAGTCCACCTGATGGTAAGTGGTTGCTGCGGTCCATAGACATCTATGTTGGTATTCTGTGAGAGCGTTGTCCTTCCCCGGTCGAGCCGACCCATTCGTGCTACAACTATACTACTAATATAACTGCAGCATGGCTCTACCACGTAGAGAGAGAGAGAGAGAGAGAGAGAGAGAGAGAGAGAGAGACGTTGTCTGAAGACTAAGATGGAATGCATCAAAGCTGTAATTATATTAACTCTTTTTAACTTTTATACCAGAACATAACTGTGCAAACACTTCTATTCGGAGAGAGAGATATACAAGAGCAGACTCTCTTCAGAGTCCTAACCTAACGGACTGCTGAGCAGTAGAGAAGTCCTACCACCTAGTAATAATAACTTGTATACAATGGTTTCTTAGATATTATATAGTGTTATGTAAATTCATGTAACAAGCAATTTGAGGCTATGCATTACTTTAAAAATTATAACTTCGGTAACAGAAACAGAAATTTTCTTATTTAGTATTATAAGCAATACTTATAAATAGTAACTTTTTTTATTTACCACTGGTTCGTAAAAAACCTGGGAAGAACCAGCAAAACACCCAGCGGAACTTTAAAAAAAACAGCTTACAATCGTGTATGTTACAATTGACAACACATAACAATATTAGAAATAGCTTGGTAGCGATCACTCGTCCCAGGGGTTATTATCGCCCATTAATTCCTTAATATTAAATTAAATAATCCTTTTTATACAAACATAGTTTAGTATAGTTTTTAAACTTTGTGTAGGTCAAATTTTGTATGTTTTCTGGAATTTTGGTGTAAGAACGTAAACATCGCCCCAAGAATGAAATCATGACTCGATGAAGTCGAGTAACTGATACTGCTAGCTTGTGTCTGACAAACTGAGACAAATACATCTCGGAATGATTTATGAAATATACCAAAAATTGACGAAATTATTATCCCCTGTCCCCCTGTCCCCTGTCCAATGCTGGACTGATTTTAATAAATTTTTAAGAACATAATAAGGATTGTGGCTTTATGTGTTTTTTAACGTTACCCTCAGGCTAGGATTTTCTCCTGTATCGTTGAGGCAGTTTTCAAACATAAATTGCACAATAACAAACATCCAGACCCGGAACAATTACTTGTAATCGATACAAATACCAGTTGCGTGCGAGATTTGAACCCGCGGCCCCCAACGCAGCAACTCATTGCTAAACCACTGCACCGCGGCGCCGTCATATCTATATGATTCTGTCGTATTTTTATGATTGAGAAATTTGTTTCCTAGTTATCAAATAACGGCGAAATAACTGGGCATTAAAGTAATTTTACAAAATTTCTAGTTATTAAAATAATTAATATACGGACAAAAAACCACTATAGAAGTATTTGTTTGAAAAATATGAAAAATACTAAGTAATTGTATGAAAATTTTTCACTGCTCAAGGTAACTTAGTGAGCTATGAAGACGGCTATGCTCGAGGTACCTCTACGTGATAAAGTTGGAAATGGGGATACCCGCAGTAGAATCAGACTAACCGATAGCTAAGAGGATTAGTAAGCTGTAATGGCATTGGGCCGGACTATACTTTGTGGCTTTCCTTGGGGGAGGGCTATATTTAGCTACTATAAACTACAGCGCCCTTTTGTATATTTTAATACCTTAATTTAAACGTTTATTTTACACGCCATAAATACTTTACAACAGAGAAACTTCAGAAAGCTCTTTTAGCATCCTTTTACTTGTGTGTGATAGAGCGCATAATATTACAACACTTTGTTCTTGTTAAGCATAGGAACTTGTTTGCTAAAATTCTTTTGTAAATATTTGTTATACTTGATACAATATTTAAAAAAATATTACTACCATAAACTCTCACATTTATATAAATTGATGAATATTTTGGTAACAACTGCCCCATTCCATCTGCAATTCTCTTGGTGTTGCAAATGTTCATGGGCAGCCGTAGTCACTTACCATCACGTGAGCCGCATGCTTGTTTGCCCCCTCTTATATAAAAAAGTTAAAAATGACTTTTTACAGAGAAAACCACATCCTACGATAGCACGAATGATGGTAATTTTATGATTTACTTATTTATTTTCACACTTTTATGAAGCCCACGTAAGTAAGGGCTTAGGGGGCCTTCAAAAAAGCTCTGCACTCACCAAACTAATACTAGTATGTAATGGGCATTTTTACTATAATAAGCCCGTGTTACAAACTACCTGGAGGTAAATGACCACTAGGTGAAAAACTGTGATTTATCTTATTAAAACCTATTCGCCCTTACCTTAAAGAAGTTAATATATTGGATTGACACATTACAAAAACAGAATTATCTGCATATTTTGGGATAATCATACTAATGTCTGTGAAACCTTTATCTGATTACCAGCTTTACTGGAGCACTGATCCCTTCTATAATAATCAGGAAATATGCCGGGTAATGACTCTAAAACGTTTCAAAAAAATCACAGAAAACCTACATCTAATATAAGAGAAGAACTACCAAGGAATTCACAACATTACAATAAACTGTGTAAAATCCAACCATTCGTTGATATTTTGAATGTGACATTTGGAGAGGCATGTGACCAATCATCAAACCAATCCATTGATGAGTCTATGATTCAGTTCATGGGAAGAAGCTCAATGAAGCAATATATGCCCAAGAACGCACGCATGCACCGCACGCACGCACGCACGCACGCACACACGCACGGCACGCACGCACGCAACGCACGCAAGCACGCAAGCACGCACGCACGCACACACACACACACATTTGTGCGAGACATCTGTGAAAATCGCTCATTAGCAAAGCCAAACAAGCTTAATAAATTATATTTCTGTAAAATAGAGCTACCATCGAGATAGTTTTCACACAAAGTGATATAACTACTTTACACATGAATGCATGAGCAACTTTACTTTGCGAGCATTACATTCGAATTGCACCTTCGATTATGAATTCATATACGCCTTTTTCAGTAAGGGATAAAAATAAGCAGACTGTATATTTCTGTTTTAAATACTCTTAACATTTTTCTGATTTATATTTTAATGGAAATGAAGATGTAAAATATATTCATAGTTTAGATATTAAATTTACATCTGCGACCCCGTAATTTTGTGTTTTGTTTCTCATGTACCATTTAATTCGTCATTTATTTAAAAAAAATATTCAACAATCATCAAATACCATAACTATTATACTTACGAGCCTAATATAAGGCGATATCCACTAGATTGATTAGGATCTGAGAAGCATACTAGAAATGATTAATGTCCGTCGTTCAGAACTGTTCTTTGTGGCGTGGCATTATTTCAACAGTGAACTTATTACGATGAAATAATTATGATTGTGAATTTTTTTAAATTAAACAGAAAAATTAAAAGCAAAAATAAAATAATTGTGTTAATTTAAGAACACGAAGTTTAGCTTACTATATCGCACGTTTAATCAAACATAGAAATAACTCAAAAATCATGTTTTTTGGCTACGGCTGTTTAAAGTTTTGCATTTACGCAGGTCGAAGTTTGATGATCTGTAAAAAAAAATTTTAAAGTATTTTATGTATTCGAATTGATTTTATTGAAAATTTAGTTCAGTAAGATTTGCTGGCATATGCGAAAAATAACAATTTACTGATGATTGACTTATAAATAGTTGATAGAAAAAAAGTTCCGACTTAATGCACTTTATGATTAAAGGAAATTATGTGATTCTTAGAACAAGTTCATCATAATACATAATAATCCTGTTTATCTCTAAAAAATAAATAAATCATTTGGGCTTATTTGATTATATTACATTGTTTTATTAATGAAGTTGGATTATTATTGTAGGAATACCAACTATTTCCTTTTTATTCAAAATATCGAGAAAATTGTTGTAAATATTTTAAAAATAAAAAAGCATAAACATAATTTATTATCCTTTTATTTATTTAAAAATAAACCTCCAAAAATAATTAAAACTTCAAAACAAATGAATAAAAAACGATTAACTTATTCTTAATCTTGACACTCTCAAATCAGTCTTATAATTGTATTATAATTGTTAAGGAACTAAAATAACCTTGGAATCAATCTTAATCAAAGTCAGAAAATGTTTACGTAAAAAATATCTTTTATAAAGGGTTTAATAGTTTATACCCATTTAAAATAAACAACAAAAACGTATTAACATATCAGGCTCTCTATTACCTTCCTTTTAAACTTGGTACAAAAAGGTAATTATTTTTTAACAAAATCTAAAAACTAAACTTATAAAAACTGAAAAAAAAAAAACAAGTAATTAGAAACACAGAAAGGAGATCCATTAAGTTCAATTCATTATTGGATTATAGAAGTTGGCATAGAAAGGAGGAATTAATCCTTTATTAATAAGCTCTGCCAAGTCCTTTTTTTTATTTGCACTTATATCTTGTCTTTGGTCGTAAGCTTTTTGAAGAGTAATTTCTTGGATATTCTTCATCTTTTTTCTTTTATTTCTTACATCAATTTCTTGGAAGCAATCATCTTTATAAGAGTTTTTGTTAAAAATACTAAACGGTTTCTCCTTTTTCATCATCAATACTTTTATATCGTTCCAATTAACTGAAACTCCATCCACATTTGTATTATAATTATAACCCCATTCCTCCTGCAAAAGTTTTAGATCCAGGAAGGCTTCAAAAGTTATTTCATGGACGTTTATGGCTGGTTTACTTTTCTTAGCATTTTTTATCAATGTCACATATTGATCTGGGGTGTAAATTGGTCCTGATTTCAAATTTTTCTTTATTTCCTTTTCAATCAAAAAATGAACGCTGTCAGCTTCGTTATGGGTGTGCCCACGAATTAAAAATTTGTGTGTTATGCTTCTTATATTTAACGTTTTCACAGCATATAGGTACAAAGTTGCTATATACTTATTTTTATTTTGCCCACAGCAATTGTCTGAGTAGAATGTTATGCTTTTCTCTTCAGTGCTTTCTTGAATGAATAATCTTTCAAGGTATTTCCATACACAGCTTCCTATCTCATTTGCTCCACGTTTAGCTTCTGCTTCCGTCCAAAAATAGCAGTGCACTTTATCATATGCTGTTTTTGAATTTAATTCAGTCAATTCAGTTATGGTAAGATTGTAACTGTTAAGTTTCGATTTATAGTAGAATGAGGAGGTGTCACCTCTAGGACATTGGAGTACTGCCTCTAAATCGTAAATTGCTACTATATTATTTTTAGTTACTTTTATAGGGTCTTCTTGTTTTTCAGTTCTACTTAAAGTCTTTTCTTCTATATGTTTATTATATTTCTCTTCTAGTTCTTTTGCTTTCTCTTTGCTACTATTATTATATGCTAAACATAAATCACATTGATCCTTTTTTGGTTGGAAAAAGGACAAATTAAATTCTGTAGTAAATATCTTGTAATATGCTATATAATTTCCTATCTCCTTATTATTTTCTTTCTGCTGTACTACAAAATCGTTATACAAATCTTTTATATTTTTTCCTCCGTCTATATATTCTTTAGAAGTACTAGCTCTGAGGTAATGCGATTCGATTTTAGGAATAGACTGAATATGTTTCCTGATGTCGTCGACTAGTTTTGGATCAAGAGTTTTGTGGCTGTTGTGTTTTCCTCTTAAGTCTTCAAGCATGAAACCACCGTCACTGACCTTATTTTGTATTGTAAAAATCATGCGATCCGAAATATCTAATGTTGCTTTAAAAAAAGTTTTACATACTCTTATTTTGTTAGAATTAACGCAAAAATAATAAGCTTTATTAGGACGCCTTGGGTTTTTAGCATTTGTGTACTTATATTTTGGCACAATATCAACCATACAACCATTAATATAATTTCTTTGTTTGGCCAAATTCCCTAAGTCCCAAAATTCTTTGAATATGTCATATCTTTGATTATTTGATATATTTTCTACACACTTTAATTTACACTTATCTGTGCATGGAATTTTAAGACAGCGACTGGGAACAAGTTTATGTGACCTTGTAGTAACATACGATTCACCAGTATTTCGTAGTTTTTTAGCTTTATTTTGTTTCCACTTCGCAGGATTTCTAGTTCGCCTTCGACCTCTTTTATTAGCGATCTTTTTTTGAGTAGAACCATTTAAATCCGAAGAACTGGTATCACTGTCACTGTTGATAGAAGTAGTAGGAAAAAGGTAATTGGAGTTCCTTTTATGATTTTTTTCTGTCTCATATTTGAAAGTAGGGTCATCATCACTCAAATCTACACTATCACTTACATCAGTATAAACTGGTGAAATATTAATAGATTTATTAGAAGAGGGACATCTCTGAGGTCTCAACTGAATGTTGTCTGAGTCGCAACATTCACTGGCCATAACTGCTACCGTGTTGCGGTTTTCAGGTTCTTCTTCTGTTTTCGAAGATGAAGAATCATCTGAATCTGAGGAAGTTCCAGAAGAAGAAGAACTAGATGATGATGAACTTGTACTTGTTGAACTCGAGGATGATTGCGGTTGTGTTTTTTTTGTTATGTCTTGTTGAACTCCAATGCATTCCAAGTTATTGTAATCATCGCTGTCATAGTCTGGCACAAGGCTTGTTGGCAATCTCTTTTCATCAGTGTCACAAGATTTATTTTCTATGTTTCTAGAACTAATCAACCGGGAATCAATTTTTTGGCTAAAATGCAGATGATCGTCTGCATTTTCTGATAATATTTCATCGCAGCTGCTAACTAACGATATTTCCAACTTTTTTATGATCGTCAGATTGTACATGTCCATCAGTAGATCGTAGATCGGTAAGATTTTTATTTGGTGGGAGATTTTCTATGTTCTCACTTGGTATATTGTTTAGGTCTTCTACAGTAGCGTTATGAGTTTCAGCTATTGGTTTAACTTCATGACTTTGCAAAGATAACGAAGAACTCGATGATACTAATTCTAGTATTTTATGTGCCCTCCGAGACGCCATTCTGTATAAAAAAAATATTCTAAATCACTATAAATATTTTTAACTAATCAATCACTTTAAATATTTTTTAAACATTTTTTTTAAATAATGCCGTTTTACTGAACTAGCCTAAAGGACAGTGAATACGATTATAGGTCCACCCGCGTGGCATCCCTACAATAAAATACAGGATAGAACAATAATTAAAACGACCTTGTTATTTTGATTGATCATCAAGAAGTAAGAATATTAAAGTCGTTATGCATTTGTATTTAACTTAAATTAATTAAAAATATAATTAAATTATATTATTATTATTATCATTATAAAACTGATGTCATTACGACAACTGGTTATTATACAATTTAATTTGTAATACTGTTAAGAACCTGATTAATAATAAGTTATAATTTTACTTTGAAAGAGAAATAACTTATAATGCAAAAATAATGTTGAGGACTTTTTTAAAATTAAACAGGAATAATTAAAATTGAATTTCATATTTAAAGCGTTATTTAATACTAAACTGGAGTAATTCTATTTGTTCTATAAATAAACTAAATATTTTAAAATGAAACTGAAATAACTAGTATTCATTCATACGATTTATTATTAGATTAAGAAATAAACTGTAATAACACGAAATAGGATCAGTGAAACTCAAACAAATTTTTGTAATAAAGTGAAATAAGTCCGAATAGTACCGCTATTCGAATAAATAAAACCAGGAAAATTACTCACCTGTTAATAATGCATAGAATTATTTCGGCTTATTGCATTATTCAATTGACTGAAACGGGATCCTAGTCTCTAGACCACTGACACAAGACTGAATATCTCTGTTTATTGGTTTCAACCTGTCAGGACGCGTTAATCAGAAAGAGACGGACGTCCTTCCATTTCGCTCAGATTTTGTTCAATTCGAACGGCTGTTTGAGCGCGCGTGTTCTTTGCGTTGAGTTATTGCGTTTTATGATTAAATCTCAGAATAACCGATTTTTGAGTTATTTCTATGTTTGATTAAACGTGCGATATGTAAATGCATATATTATTAAAAATATTAAACGGACTCTACACTCTATAAACGGTGCCATATTCTAGCTCGCTGTTTCGCGTATAACAGGAACGAACTCGACCGACGTTTTTGATGTGAAAATTGCCAGTTCCATGTTATAATATCGGCAAACGATGCTCTTTGAAGTCTGAAATACAAAATAAGTATAGAATAACAAAATTCACACACACTTTATTTTCGCTTATTTAAACTTTTACTTAAAAGTGAATATCGTTGTTAACGTTTATGTTAAAGTTACAAATGATTTATATTGTAACTACAAAACTAACAAAATAAACTATATAAGTTTCGTATCCGATATTGTCAATATTTTTTCTCCATAAAGACCTTTAACTACAGTATTAACAACATGACAATATTTTTTCGTGGTCTTAAAATTTTCGTAGACTATTTTGTTAATTATTATCATTTTTATAGGTACGGCCATTCCGTTACTGTTTAGGAGTATGTTAAGTTATATACTGTCCTCTTACTTTTTTCTTAAAAAAAGGTTTAAGATACTCAATTTGTTGTGATATATGTTTTATGTATGTTCGAGCATAACTTATTTGTTTATACTGATTGAAAGAGTGTAGAGAACCGGGGACTCTATTTACTGGTAACGAGGCAGTTCTCAGGGGTGTCAACGCATCTGCATTTTGATTTTTAATCGAGTATATATATAGCTGTCCATAGGCCATAGCATACACTTACCATCGGGTGAACTGTGTGGTCGTTTGTCACCCCTATCCTATAAATAAATCACTAACTCTCGAAGCACTAACTGCCATGGAATAACGCTAAATAATAATAATAATGATTAATAATGGTTTAATTATTATTGAGACTATAATATTTTCACATTGCTCTGTATTTGTTTTAGTAGTTGAATACACAGTGATGTAGTTTCACCTAACGACAACAAACCCTAAGAGGATTTATATATATTTTTCGACTGTTCTCATTTGGAGACATTCATGACTTGCTCGCGTTCAAAATATGTCAGTTCATGAATAAATCCTTTTCACTGAATAAGACTATTTATTTTAGAAAGTCCCGTTTTGTTGTTTGTTGTTTCAAAAAACATTTTGTTTTACTTTAAGCTTTTTCTTTAATTTAGTTTGGTACAATATTGAAGAAAACGGGTAACATGAAATTCAATACGTAATTTTTTTTAGTAAACTGAAGTGACAAAGAAACTTACAGTCTACTTGTTGTTAAGTGGCTACTATAGTCTATGGATACCTGCAGATAACTTCAAATAATTAAGACTAAGATGGAATGCCTCAAAGCCGTAATTATATTCTAGAACATAACAGTGCAAACACTTCTATTCGGAGAAAAAGATATACAACAGCGGACTCTCTTGAGAGTCCTAACCTAACGTACTGCTAAGCAGTAGAGAAGTCCTACCACCTAGTAATAATAACTTGTATATAATGGTTTCTTAGATATTATATAGTGTTATGCACATTCATGTAACAAGCAATTTGAGGCTATGACTTACTTCAAAAATTATAACTACAGTAACAGAAACAGAAACTTTCTTATTCAATATTATAAACAATACATATTGAAAGTAACTTTTTTATTTACCATTGGTTCGGTAAAAACCTCTGTCCTGGGAAGAACCAGCAGGAAAACCATCGGGACATTTTTAAGAAAAACAGCTAACAATCGTGTATCTTACAATTAACAACTCATAACAAATTAGAAATAGCTTGGTAGCGATCACCCTTCCCAGGAGTTATTATCGCCAATTAATTCCTTAATATTACAATAATCTTAAAATTAATTAAAAAAATTTATACAAACTTAGTTTAATAAAGTTTTTGAACTTTGTGCAGATCAAATTTTGTATGTTTTTTATAGGATAGTGTGACAAACGAGCACACAGTCCACCTGATGGTAAGTGGTAGCTGTGGCCCATACACAACTACATCTACGAATCACAATGCAGATGCGTTGTCAGCCGTGAGGACTAAGATGGAATGCCTCGTTTCCAGTAAAAAGGGTCTCCGGTTATCTACACTTACCATACGAAACACAGCGGCATTAAGCTACTCTTTTACGCTGGTATTCTGTGAGAGCGTGGTCCTTCCCCGGTCGAGCCGACCCATTCGTGCTACAACTATACTACTAACATAACTGCAGCATGTCACTACCACGTATATATTTTTTTTGTTTTCTGAAATTTTGGTATAAAAGCGTAAAAATCACCCCAAGAATGAATTAATGACTCGGTGAAGTTGAGTAACTGGTACAACTAGCTTGTGTCTATTCCTAGTATTAACAGAATGAATATTACATATTTTTGCAAACCTACTTTTATTTTTTGTGTTACGTACACATATTTCCATAAATATATTGAGAGGGCAAAGTTAATATATAAATTTCTTTAAACATTTGTCTGAACGACTCTTTAGATTTTAAATCATAGATTGACCTAATGGAACTCGTCTGTAAAACAAATATAATTTCACTATCAGTCGCGCGTGTCCCCATAGCAAAATACTATACGAAATTACGCCATGAAAAGAAAAGAGCTAAAGTAAATTAGTCTAGCTGTTTCAACACTAGTAAATATTCTAATCTACTCTAATTTTTTACAGCATATGCAGCAGAACTAAGTCTGATTGTTAGATTTGATATATGGGGTTCCATTAAAGCTTTGCGTCTAGTGTGATTCCAATAAAAATGTCTCAGCGCTCAACAAGACTCAGCTCCTCCCTATTAAAAATTACATTAATGCTGTCATGTTTGACATTCGGAGTTATGCGTTTTTAACATTTACTAATTTATATACACTATTATTTACTTCGCCATAATTTAGTAACTGTCGTTTTAATTTGAAAATTGATGAAGTGTCATAAGCAAATAATTTTTTCATGGCATAATTTCGTATAGTAATTTGCTATGCGGACACGCGAGAGACAGTGAAATTATATTTGTTTTACAGACGAGTTCCATTAGAGCTATCTATGATTTAAAATCTAAAGAGTTGTTCAGACAAAAATTAAAAAAAATTATATCATGGTTATTCCCCACTTTGTAAGGTGTCATTAATATGACTTGCTGCCAATGATTGAGCCTTGAGGCACACCCATTTGTACTATCAACCCGGCAGAACTTATACTAATAATGACAACTTTTTGCGTTCTGTTACTTAAATATGAAATAATTTAAGAGCATTAATTCTTACACCGTAGTGTTGAAGTTTCCTGATTAGTGTTTCATGGTGAATACAATCGATGGCTTTGAATATGTCACAGAATATACCCAAGGCATCCTCTGAATTCTCCCATGCATTGAAGATATATTTAATCAGCTCAACACCAGCATCAGTTCTCGAGTGACCCCTTGTGAAACCGAACTGATTTTTATTTAGGAAATTATTTACATTAAAAAATTTAACATTTGAACAAAAATAATATTTTCAAAAATTTTACTAAGAGAAATAGATCTATTTCTCAACTGTATTACCAAAATTAAATAAAAGTATCACTTTACAATGCTTTATTAAATCAGGAAACACACTAAATTCGATACTAGTATTAAAAATATTAGCAAGTTGAGGTGCGATTGTATCTTTAATAGACGCAATAACTTTAACGGAAATCCCCACAGGTTTCGTAATATCAATAGTTTTAAAATATTTTACAGTTTGAATGAAGATTTGATGATACTATACGACATTTAAAATTCTTTGTATATGCATTTACATTTCATTTAAGTAAGGATTCGGTGACGGTAGTAGAAGAATTCGGTAGTAACTTAGTGGTTAATATCGGAATATCGGTAAAATATTTCTCGAAAACCATTGCAACGTCCTGATCTGATTTAGTTAATTTGTTGTTAAAACTTAACTGTTAGTTTGAATAGTGAGAGTTGACCTTACCAGTTTCACTATTAATTATAATCTATGTCATAATTTAATTTTATTTGATACCATCTTTATTTTGTTGCTCCAATACAAAACTTTGATATGATGCATTGTCTTTTAAATATTTTTGGATATTTTTTTAAAATATTCCCTAAATTCGACGCCAGGATTACATGACCTTTTATGAGCAATACGCGTTGGATCCAAAAATTAATTAAAAAAAACCATATGATTTAAACAAAGGTTTAAATTAAATATTGTTGGAGGAAGCTCACTGTAGATTGATATTAAAGTCTCCACATATTACAACAGATTTATTCTGTTTATTAAGCTTAACAAAAACTTCATCCATATTTTTTTAAAAGTATCGTATACTATATAGAAAATGGCAGTCTGTAGACACTCACAACAATGAGGTGCTCAAACTCAACACATGCCATTTCTACAGTTCGCTCAAACGAGAGGCTCACCAATGATATTTTAAAGGAGGATTACACTATCACTGAGGCTCATAATGTCTTTACGATCTTTACATGATAATAATTTACTAGCTAAAATTAGGGAGCCACCTATTAAAATCGTTTCTCTATTGAAAGAAATAACCATCTGGTAATTACTGAAGTTAAACATTAAGTTATAAGTTTTTAAACAATGTTCAGTAATACATAAAATATGAATATTGTTGCTATTTAAGAACAATTCAATTTTTAGCTCTTTGCCTATCACGCCTTTTCTATTTGGAGGCACCCGGTGTAAATAATTTTTATTATCATTTTGGGGAGCCATACAACTGTAATTATTAAGAATTTGTAAGCTATACCCTAAATTACTTACATTGTTATAACTGCTAGAGATTTTTTTATGGGATACGGTGACAAACAAGCACACAGTCTACTCTGATGGTAAGTGGTTGCTGTGGCCCATCTACATCTATCCTCGATTACAAATCGAAATGCAGATGCGTTGTCACCCGTGAGGACTATGATGGAATGTCTTGTTTCCAGTAAAAAAGGGTCTCCGATTCTCTACAGTCACCATATGAAACACAGCAGCATTAAGCTAGTATTTGACGCTGGTATTCTGTGAGAGCGTGGTCCTATCCCGGTCGAGCCAACCCATTCGTGCTACAACTATACTACCCCGCTAGCTCAGAAAGAACAGCAAACAGGTTACACCTGTTTGCACGCGACGCGAATGGCAGGAATTGCAAATTATTTGCTAACTTGCAAATTTTGCAATATTTTCACTTTAAGACGGTATTTATGGATAAAACTTACAGGAATTCTTTTTGAATGTGTAAACTATCGAATAAAAATATTTTTGGTTGCTAGAAATTGTAATAAAATTCATAAATTACCCTTTATAGCATAGTAGTAGTATATATTTCACTTTTAGTGCCAAAATTACTACTAATTTGAATTCTACACTTTTGTTTTAGGAGAAATTTATATGAAAATGTTTGGAAATATGTATATTTTTATGTTTTATGTGTTTCTATTCGTTACTCATACAAATCAAATTATTAAAAAATAATAAAAAAATAATAATATTTATCTGTATGACAT